ATATATATTCTCATGCTTATGCCTCTGCATCTTCGCTCTACAAACTGTAAATACCCAAATGACTTGAGGTCCTTATTTTTTTTCCTCTTTTTTTTTTCTTTTTCTTTTTTTTTTTTTCTCCTCTTTTTTTTTTTCATACGCATTGCATTTATACCCAGAAGAAAAAAAAAAAACTGCAAAGGTTTCCTTCTGTGTGCCCCCTCCCCACCACACCACCCCATCCCAGCTTTCTCCCTTAAATAGCATTGAACACACTCAGGTGAAATTAAAATTGGAAGTCAGTTCGCGAATTCGGTTCTCTCTGTTCATTTTCTTGAGTTTCATCCTGCGGTTCTGAAACCAGATTTTGACTTGTCTGTCTGTCAGGTTAATACTCTTACTAATCTCCAGGCGGCGCTCACGGGTCAAATACATATTGAATAAGAATTCCTTCTCCAATTCCAGCGTCTGGTGTTTAGTATAAGGACACCTTTTCTTTCTTCCGCTCTTTGCTGTCAGCCAATTTCCTGTAGTGTTTTCTGCCTTTATATCCTCTGTTAAAAATAACATTATTATATAAGTATCCGTGGAATAGGAAAGAGAACTTACCAGGCTAAAGATGTGTATTTAATGACTGCTTTATTGTTTTTCTTTCTTTTTTTAATCAGCTTCTTTTGGTGCAAAAGAAGCATGGATTGCACAAGGGAGGGAAAAAAATGTCTTGGGTTATTTTTTTTTGGGGGGGGGGGGGGGGGGGGGCCTGAAACCTAATTTGCTCTTTTTTTTTAATAGCCAATAGGTGTCAGGGACCCTGGACACATCGCTGAATGGATCCACGTTGTGTGCACCTACGAGGCTGCAGCCCAAGCTCTCACCCACAGTAACTGCATATTTCAAGTAACGGATAGCTTAGTGAAATGCAGTTGCTTTTCGGCTTTTCCACTCTTCCAAGCTGGAGGGTTGTCCACACGTCAGGCATGTCAGCAGAATGTAATTTTATGAAATTATTCATGGCTTCAGGGTGCTACATCCAGGCTTGAAGAGTGGGGGGACCTTTAAAAACAGCGGTGTAACTTTCCTAAGTTCTCCGTAGGCGCTTTGCCCTCGATTTCCCCTACACCCACACCCACTCAGGGTGCTACCAGCCCATCATTTGAGGCTAAATTTGAAGAAGATGGGCTGAAAGGTTTGGCACACTGAGCCTTTTTTTTTTCTCTCTCTATGGAGGAAAATCTACTTATCCCAGATGCTAGGAAGGTTGGGAAGTGTACCAATTGCATTTGTCCTAATCATCCTCCTGGAAGATCTTTGCCTTTATGAAGCATGTGTGCTTCCAAATAGGTATATTCTTAGGCAGCGGCATTTCTTCTATACACACCCACACACTTATCCACCCACCCACCCCCCACAAGCTCTGTATAAAGGCAAATGCATTTCAGGCGTTCACGGATAAACACAGCAAATACTTCGGATTTGAATTTGGTCTTGAGGAAACCCCTGGCATCAGGGGTCGACTCGTACTTATGCCTAAACTACACATACACAGACACACACAGACCCCTATATATCTAGATAGATAGATAGATAGATAGATAGACCCACACACATATATAGATATATATACATACGTGTATATATATACACACACATATACACAAGCATACACACACACACATATATATACATATGTATACCCATACATACATATATACATATACACATGCATACATATATACACATATATACATATGTGTGTATATATATATACACACACACACTTACATACACATAAATACAGAGAGAGAGAGACTATGTATAGTTTAGGCATAAGTACGCATATATATATCTATATCTATATCTGTATGTGTCTATATATAGACACACACACACACACATATATATATAGATATAGATATACACACACACACATATATATAAATATATCTCAAAGGAAAATGATGCTTTCTACCAGTCTGAAAATCCACTCGCTGCCCTATTCCTGCCAGTGTCAGAAATTTCGCCCACTGGAAATAAGGCTAATAATAAGGATGAAAAAACCCCCAAACAAACAACACTGTATTTAACCAATTATGCCTTTCAAAATGAGCTGGCTTGAAATGCCTCTTTCCTCCATGTTCGAAGTTCCGCTTTCTTATCATTGAACCTAGCAAATTCTGTCTACAGAGTCTGGCTTTCCACCGGTCTCAGAGACATTGGAACATCTCTTACCTTGTGCCTGGATGAATATACACATAGATTTATATCTCAGGGTCAACAGAAACGAAAAATTTAGCTACGCAGGAATTGTTTAAACCCATAGATCCAGAAGCAAACCAAATCCGCTCCTCAACTGGCCGTGAGCTTTACAAATGGTCATAGCAATGTAGCCCCGTTTGGCAAAATGCACAAGTCTCCAAACCAAGGACTTTTCCAGGCACACATCCATTTTGTTTGAGCTTCCCAACAATACGGGAGGTGAAGCCTCTTCTCCTTGTTTCATGCTAGTATTGTTATTGTTATTATTATCATCATCAGTATTATTATTAGTTCGCCCCCATTGCAACTGAAAGCCAAGATGGTCTTTTTTTTTTTTCCCCCGCAGGCAAACTCCCACCAAAATTGCATCCTGGCGTGCAAATAGAAGACGCTGGGAGAAGATAAGTTTGCTGGGATTTTGATAACCTTGACTTTGTGTTTTGTGGAATTGCAACTCCACTGTCAGATAAAATAATTTGCCATTGGGTGCGGGATTCATTCAACGCGGCTTTTGGGGAGGCTGGGGGTGGGGGAGTGTTTTTGGAAAGGCCAATTTGCAAAGGTGATTTTGCAGGGAGATTTTTTTCACGTGAACGACAGAGGATGTGAAAGGTTTGTATGGTCTCCCCTGGCAGCCCATACACGGGGCATGCATGTGTGCGAGGATACACACAAAACACACGCGTGTCTCTGTGCAAGGCTACATATTTCCTGGCCATATCTCCCTCCGCTGCTTGTTTTCTAATTATACTACCAATTCCTAGACACAGAAACTGTGGGAACCCCAAAACCACAGTCAAAGAAACCAATCCGTTTACTTAAAGCCCTCTCCGCTTCCAACAGCATTTTACACTAAGTATTTTGCTGCAACTTTTCAGTCAAATCACACAAGACATCTCCTTCCTAACCTGGAAGAAACACTTCAATCCATCTAAGTGGCTCTAATATCTCTGAAGATGAAGAGACCCATGTATTTCAAGCCATGCACACTCTCTACAGTGAGAGTCAGATCTGATGAATGAAAGCCTCTTTCCACAGAAAGCCAAACTTAAGCCATCAGCTCAACACGTCCAAACATTTTTTCGCCTTCACAAACCAGACCTCCATTCGCCAAAAAAATGAGAAATTGATTAAAAAAAAACCGCTTTTCGCCCCTTCTTCCCCCAAAATAGCGAGCGTCAAGCAATGAAATGAAACGCAACACACAACTCCAGCCTCAGCTGTTTGGCAAGTGAAAATATGACCCGGTCCATATTCTTTTCGACTCAAAGCAGTTGAAACTGGGCGAAGCAAAAGAGTGGTGGGAAATCATATGAAGAAATAAACTGCTTTGGCACACCAGAAAGAAAGCACTGGGAGAGACAACGGCCCCGAAGACAAGAGATTTTTCCTTGGCAAACTCAGTGTCATCTTCGCCTAGGATAAAAGCCACCTCATCTAATTAAGCGCACGGCTCCTTGCGAGTCCACACTTAAATAAATACCGGCACTCACAGACATCCTCCAAGCAAGGAGATGCGCGTCCAAAGCGATTCCAGATCCATCTCTCCCCCCACACCTCACCAGCCACCCCCCAGTCCTTCGCAGTGTGCATCTCTGGATTTTAAAAATAAAGTGAGGGGGGAGGGGGGGACAGAGGGTTGGGACCCCTTCAGACAGCATCCCCAAACCTCCACGCGAAGTTTGCAGAGGGAGAAGCCAACCCTTCCTCCGCTCGCTTCCAAGACTGCGGCCAAATCAGCTACTGATAATGAACGAGTCCTTACCTTTCGTCTCATTGTCAGAATTGTCAGTGCTGGTGTCAGTGCTTTTATTCAGCTCTTTCTCTGGTTCCGTGGGGCCGATTTTGGGAGCGGGGGCACTTTTTTCGGTTTTAATTTCGTTGGTGGCCGTGTTCTGAGGGTTATCTGTTTTGGTGTTTTCGGGGAAACTCACTTTAGCCACGGGTGGCGGTGGAGGAGGCGGTGGAGGTTGCTCCAGATGCTCGTTCCTTGGATTCAGACTCGCCCTGGATTCAAAACTTGCCTCAAACTCATTTGGATTGTTGCAGTTTGACGTCTTCTCCATGGAGGAATAACCTTGGCTTGTTCGGTAGTAGCTGGGCACGGGTACTTCATGGTCGTTTAGGCAAGAGTCAGGCATTTGGTTGGGGTAGAGGGCTGTCTCTGTGGCATTTTTTGCCCTTTTATCAGCGTTATACATACAGCAAACATTCTCTTCCTTGACATTGGTGGGGAAGGAGCAGGATGGGAGCTGTCTCGCAACAGGTTGCTCGATCCTGTAAGTATTTTTGGGGTCACACCAAGTGTCTAGCTGAGAAAGGTAAGATGGATAGGTGTTGAGAGACAGGTTAGCGTTATTCACCTCGTCTCTTTTGGAAAGAGACGGGATAAGTCCACAGTTCCTCATCACTCCACAGCTGAAATCGCTTCCAGGCTGCATGTACATCCCTTGGTTAGAGGAATAATTCTCCCCTCTACAGGTACCGGCCAAGGAGTCCATCAAAAACGAGTTAGAAGTCACATTGTTGGGGCATGACATTTTCAGAGAGGGCTTTTAAAGAGGAATACTACAGCCAGGGGCTGACATCTTTTTTTTAGGGAAAAATATCAGCACCATAATTATCCACGCATTGGTCCCCACCACGTGACGCCCAGGCCAATGAGGATTGAAAATGGCCTTGATGATTCAGACGCCGATGACGTCACAGGGGTCAAGTTGTTGGGAGAGCGGAGAACCAACGTGGAGCAACAGCGACATCTATCAGCCCGGCCGGGGTAGGGAGCCGGGGACCTTCACGTTGAACAAAGGAGCGAGCCCCCTTCGCTCCGGTTTGTTTACCAATGAACCAACGCGTGTGTACGGCAGAGTGGGGGGAAAAAAAGGAAACGACCGGGCAAATACAGGCAAAGTCAAATTCAAATAAAAAGGTCAGCAAATAATCAACCTTCCTTTGCCCCCCACCCCTATCCCCCCCTTCCCCTTGTCTCTCTTCCCTTCTTCTCCTTCTTTTATTTTTTTTCTCCCCCCCCTCCCAAAATAAATCCAATTTCTGGCAAGAGGCACAGACACTTCCCCAGCCTAAAATGAACTTTCTTCCCTCTCCCCCGCCAGGCGCCTGCTACTTCCCCGCCCCAGCAAAACTTGCCCTATTTTGAGTTGCTTTCAGGGGTTCTTTAGGGTGGGTTTTGCTTTCCATGATTATTATTATTTTTTTAAAGCAAAGGTTGGTGTGGATTTTTTTCTTTTTTGGAGGGGTGGTTATGGATGGGCTGGGGGTGCCCCGCTTCCAGGTTGGAAATGCAGGGGGACGGAGGCATCTGGTTTGGTTTGTTTTGTTTTTAAGGTTGTTTGAAATCAGAAAGAGGGGGATCTTGCCAACCCTTGCACTGCTCTGGATTGTGTCTCTGGTTCCCACCGAAATCCCAAGCTCTTTAGGACGGTAAGCAGATTTTGCAAGCGCTCATTTGACAAGAAAAGAAAATGAACAAGAAAGAAAAGAAAAATAAAAGTATACTCTCTTATTTTATCCCCCCCCCCCTTTTTTTTTCTTCCCTCCCCCTCTGCAGCTGAAGTGGAAGAGACTCTGCAAAGGCAGGTTTTTTTAATTATCCCCTCTCATTGTTCACTGCTTTAAGTTTCTTTGCTCAAATAGTGTCTCCAGCGCTGGGCACGGATCTTGCAAAACATCTCGTGGGGAGACAGAGGAGGTCAAATTTGTTCACTGGGATCGATCTTTAAATAGGAGACTACAACAGGGTGATTGGAAGAGTTTTTTTCCCCCCTCTGTCTCCTTCACGACAGGAAATAATTACTCAGGGGGAGAAAAACCCCGAAATCCAAACTGCATTTGCCCAAATAGCTGCAATTGCCAAATTGCAACGTCTCGGTTCGCCTAGGAGTTGCTTTGCTTTTTGTTTTGCCTTTTTTTTTTTTTTTGCTTGATTTTGAGGAAAGAAAGTGCCTTTCCTGTCCATTCCTCCTCGCTCTTTTTGTGCAACACTTTTCCTGTTGTGGGAGTTTTGGGGTTGTTGTTGGTTTGGGTTTTTTTCCTTCCCCCACCTCCATGTTAACGATCTTACAACTAGAATTAGCATCTCAGCCAGGAGAGCATTTTTACCTTTGTCTTTTCGCTCTTGGCTTTATTGGGCATTTTGGAAAAGAGGGGGGAGAGCAGGGAAGCTGACCTGGGGGTGTGCGTGAGAGTTGTGTGCATGGGTGTGCGTGTGATTTTTCACTAGCACTGGCGGAAACCTCTGCTTGGAAAACCCTGGGGCTGAGTGAGGCGAGGGCTCGGGGTGGAAGGGGAGTGGGAATAAATAAAAGGGAAGAAAGAAGCGACTAAGCAAAGCTGGGGTTTCAAGATCATTACGAGCGATTGGAAAGCCACACGGGTTCAGAGTCACTTTCAAGGGAAGGAAACGCCAGCAGAAATAAATGAAACGCCGCCTTGACTGGCAAAAAGGGGGGAAACACCCCAAAAGCAACGCATTGGAAGGGGAAATAAAAGTCCCAGCTACAAGGGGTGGTGGGGGGAGAAGTGGTACTGGACCATTTTACGGTCTCGGTGTTAAAAGTACGGTCCTGTGACGTCTGGTAACCCTCTTTCCCCCCAACCCCCTCGGCTTTAACTTTCAAGAGACTTCCGAGGCTTCTTTCCTCACCCTCAAGTGCGCCCCGGTGCCTTCTCCTAGGCCGAGGAGGCTCCAAACTCCGTAAGAGGATTTTGTCTCCCCCATATACAGCACAGTAAAAAGCTGCAGTCGCCATTTGGTTCCCCTGGAAAGCTATTTGCGACTTTATTGCCTCTATTTGTGTTATCTGCATAGGTCTCTTTAAAACAGTTTGATAGAAATCGTTCCGTTTTATGATATCCAACGAAAATTCCACATAATATTTATAAGCAAAGGATAAAACTTTAGTATGGGAACCAATATTTTCTCATTTATAGGTGATGAAATTAAAGACCAATGCAATTTGGTGTTATATTGCTCCATACCCCCCCCCCACCCCTACTTCTACTTTATTTTTGCAGCTGATGTGGTTCCTCAATAATTTATGCTGTTCACTCAAACATCTACACATGTGCATTTTTGCGACACCAAAAAATTTGACCTCATAGTTTCCTGGATTGTCTGCCTGAAGATTAAATGTGTTTTCCTCTATTTCCCCCCTTTGCCGCGTGTTCCTGGGCTTTGGTCGCAGGAGATAGGAAGGACTTTGTGTGAGCCCCTTGGACGTGAAATAATTTGAATTTTTGGTTCTCCTTCACAGGCTGCTTCGGCGAAATCTCAGCCCCACGCAGGCTGCTGGAGTGAGAAGAAGCTGCTGGAAAACCCCTCTTTTATGCACGTGAAAATGCTGTGAATATAAAATAAAGATTTGCAAGGGACCGGGCATGGCGCTTTATAGGGGTGGTGGGGGAGTTTGGGGGGCCAAACCAATCCATTTATGCAAATATTTGAAAGCTGTTAAAAGCTCTTTTAAAGCCAAGACTGGAAAGCCAACTCAGAAAGTGGCAGCCACGGGTGGTGGGAGGGGTGGGGGGAACCAGTTTCATCATTACAATATTCGAGTGTATTTAAAACACAAAAAGCTTTAGCATCAAGGGATTATTTTTTTGTCTTGTCGAGTAGAAGTCGCTGCTCCTCAAGAGCACAGAAGAGGTTTCCAGGAGACGGAATATTGTTTAAAGTTAAAAATAATTAGAAGTATGATAAACATGGGTCATTAATGGAAAAAGAAATAAAATTCATCAGCTTAAGTAGAACCCCCGTTGGGAAAAATGCTTGTCTCTAATTACAGAAAATAAATACGAACAAACGCTATTAAAACTTAAAAGGAGAGCGCCGAGATGTGGGAAGGACTTTAATAACCTCCTTTGAATTTTACACACTTTTAGCAGAACAATATGCAGGCTGGATAGTGGCACACACACAAAGCACGCGCCTGGGGGAAGTACACCTACGTGCCCTGCACACGCACACACATGGCATTGTATGTTCATAGACACCTTCCTGTAGGGGGGGGAAGACACCGTGGACATTGGAAATGGTCTGAGGGTTTAGCTTTATGCAAATATATAAGTCTCACCAAATATAGTTGCCTCCCTTTCTCATGCGTGTGTGTGTGTGTGTGTGTGTGTGTGTGTGTGTGTATGTAAAGCCAATTGCTAATGTTCCTCTATTGTCCTGGCTGTGGGATGGTCCTTTTTGAAGGGCCAAAAGGCGAAGAATTGGCTTAGTATATCCCTCTAAAATCAGCTTTAGGCGCTTCCTCCTCTTGCCTGCATGGAAAAAGAGGCAGAAACCCTGAAAAAAAGCCCCTTTCCCCCTCCCTTATCCGTCCAAAACGCATTTAAAATGCACGTGGAGACTATCCCCAACAAAGACCCTCTCCAACTTGCGCATAATATTTTACCTGCCTCCTTTTCAATCTAATTATTTAACAGAGAGTTATGCCCAGAAAGTGCCTCTTATGTCCATTGCATTTTTTTTTTACCAACTTTTCTTACATTTTTTATGACGAACATTCATTTTTTTTTTTTCGCTCCGAGGAAGTATTTGATAGCAACACTTTAATGATTACCTTAAATTTGTATTTCTGCCTGGTATCATACCCCCCTGTTGTAGCGGAAATAATTCTGATTTATGGCAAAGTCCACTGGAGTACAATAACAGCGATGCAAAAATAAAACCCACGCCTTTATATGTTGGCTTGGAAACTGTAAACTATCACCACAAGAAATCTATCAAACTTTACAGTCCCTCTTATTCCGCTTCCTTCTTTCTGAGTAACTTAAGTCAAAGAATTATGGAATGATATTATGTTCCTTGAGGTGGTATTGAAAACTGTGTTCAAATTTTCCTACCGCCAACATAGCAGTCTTCAGACATTAATATACTGGTTTTACTTCGACTGCCTTCCTTTCCCTTTGATCAAGAGGACGAATTTTGCACAGGGCGAGTCATATGTTAGCAGGAGCCGTGCAGGGAGCGACACGAGAGCATTGCAGTGGGGTCCTTGTTAAAGTTTATTCGACCAGGCATTTTTTCCTGCCATTTTCCAAATGCATTCACCAACCTCAATATGACACCAAAAAAATCGGGTCTGGTCCCATCCGGAGCTATGAAGTCCAAGCGGCTTAAGCATTTTTTTTTTTTAATCTCCCCCAGCAAGCAGCATTGCTGGCTTCAAGTCGGGAAATGGTGGCATTTTATTCCCCCCCGCCCCAACCCCCAGGTAAAAGATGACTTTAAACGTGTTTTGATCTTTAATGCCATTGACTTGTTGGGAGCATTGGTGGAAAAGGAGAAACACTGGGAGCGAGAGGAGAAAGGCAAAGAACTGAAAAAGAAGTAAGCGCGTGTTAAAAGCTGCGTAAAAACTTTAGTTATTTTGAAAAAAAAATCCCCCCAAATTCTAGCTGGGAAGGTGGGATTTGTCTTTTCTTCCCCATGGAGGTAATAGTCTGATATTTTGCTGGGGTTATTCCATGAACCTGCTTTAAGTGCGTCCAAATAAACACGATTGTTTCAAATGTAGCTCTCAGCCTGAATCTACTAGGGGACGAAGCAGGAGAGATCCCGAAATCCGGTCTAATCAGGGGCAAAAAAAAAAAGGAATCACGGAATAAAACCTGGACACGCAAGAAGTTTCCGCCTTGTTGTGTGGGAATAAACACGAGAGCTGGGATACGGGCTGTTTTATTCTGCTCGAGTCCTCCAGACAGGGATTTTAATATACAGTAGAGTCCACTGCGTTGCAAAAGGACAGAAAGCAGCATACATGCATTCAAAAATAAAATACACACACACAGACTCTTCATCCAGTCCGAAGCCTGGAATATAATCTGGAAACACTTCCATTTTCTTAATGACATATTGTTTGCAAGCCGCAGCAGATACGAGGGCCAGCCATTTGAACACTCACTTGTACAGTAGCATACGGTTCATATCAAACGCCTTTCTCAAGCAGGCGCTGCAGAAGGCCATTAGGATGCATCACTTCATTCAAAGGAAGGTATCCCTTAAACAATTAAAACCAACGACCCCCCCCCCTTTCCAACTTGTAACACAGAAACAGTTGTAATGTTTGCATTCAGTCTTTCCCCTCCTCCCCCCCAAATGAATCAAGTTATTTTTTATAGGGCTCCCTCCGCAATATGCTCCGTTTTAATTCCTCGGCTGAAGATATTAAAAAAAGAAAAAGGCAAAGAAAGCCAACAGCCTCTTATGGGGCTGCAAACCTCATTCTTGCGGTTGCATGTGGTAATTTCCAAGTTATCAAAAGCAGAGGAACGTGCTTGGAGCTACCAGATGCTGTAGAGTTTTGCCCCCAACTTTATGAAAGGCCCTAATGAGACGCCATTTTGGAGGGGGGGGATAATACAAGTCATGTTTTCATATTTGCTTTGATAGCAAAAAAAAAAGAAGAAGAAGAAAAAGAAGCAGGCAGCTCTAAAGGGCAAGCCAGACAGAGACGTACCAGCGGGGCTGGTTTTGTCGTGCATGGGAATGGGACCTCATATGGTTCAACTGAGCTCCCAAAATACTTTCCTCAAAGTTGGGTTTTTTTCTTCCTCCCCCCCACCCACATCTAATTGTCTTTTTTTTTTCTTTTGCCTCGTGGCCCACACTATATTTCAGCAGCAAATCCTCTCCTGTCCATGTAGCAGAGCAGTCCTTGAAGACAACGTTATAGCTCACTGGAGTCACTAAGACAGAACAGGCTAAGATATTGGGAGCACGGAGTATTTATTTACGTGGTCACAGCCATGGAGCTCCGTCGGGGATAACTAGGGCTCCTATAAAAGTTACTCGTACCCAAGTCAATGAATTCACCCTGCGATCCAACAGGCGTAGATTAGCTCAATTGATGGTCGATTCAAGTCCACTTGCCAAAGCCACTGCCTTTGTTCTTCGGATTTTCTAATCCCAGCTTTGCCAACATCAACCCCGGGAGGAAAGAGCAAAGGGGGAGAGGAAAGGCTTTCCCCTCACCGCTATTGTTTGCAGGTCTTGCGGAGCTGGTCGACAGACCTGTTTATTTCCAGGCCACCCAAAAACACACAAAAAAAGAGAGAATTCCCCCTTAGGACGGGTCTGATCACACAGTCAAGTTTATGCTCCTCATTTCCAGTTCAGGAGCTGCTGGGTGTGCGTTTGTTTGCCTGTGTGTTGGGGGGGGGGGGGGGCGGGCGGCCTGGGGGGTGTCTGGCTGCATGTGTGTGTGTTGGGTGTTCGGGCTGTGTGTGTGCCTGGCTGTACGTGTGTTGAATGCACGGGTGTGCGTGGATTTATGTGTGTGCCTTGCTGCACATGTGTGTGTTGGGTGTATGGGCTGTATGTGCATGTGTGGCTGCACATGTGTTGCATGCATGTGCGTGATTTGGGGGTGGGCTGTGTGGGTGTGCATGCCTGCCTGCACATATGTGTTGCATGCATGCATGTGTGTGGGCTGCATGGGTGTGTGCGCTTGCCTGCATATGTGTGTTGCATGCATGCATGGTGTGTGTGTGTGTGTGTGTGTGTGTGTGTGTGCGCTTAGTGCGTGGGCTGTATGGGTGTGTGCGCCTGTCTGTACATGGGTTTTGCTTGAGTGTGTGTGTGTGTTGAGTGTGTGTGCTGTATGGGTCGGTGCGCCTGCCTGCATGCATGTGTGCGTGCTTGTGTTGGGTGTGTGGGCTGTCTGGGTGTGTGTGCCTGCCTGCACATGTGTGTTGCATGCATGTATGTGTGTACGCGCGCATTTTATCCCTGGACGTAAATGTGCAGTTCTTTACAAAAAAAATAAAAAAGAAAGAAAAAAGTAGTAAAAGAAGCTGCATTTTTTTCCTGCAAAAGTGGAAGAGATCTGCTCTAGCAAGGAAGCCAGCTTCAAGGATTATTCCCCCTACAAGACACCAATTAAAACTATGCCCCCTTCTCTGAAATATTTCACAACAAAGTCACCTGGATCGGCTGCCAACACGCTGGGTAGGAAGTCCAAGCAGGAATAAGAAACAGGTTGGCTTGATGTGTTTGTACGTCACACGGAAAGGTCCTTCGTAATTAGTCTGTGTGTCATTAACGTAGCAATACCCCAAGCTCCCCAGCCTATGAGGAAGCCATTCATTGTGATGGACATGAGAGGTAGGAATAAAGTTGTCTGCTGGAAAGCCCTAAATGCGTGCTGGGAATTTTTTTTAAGGGGGGGGGGGTGTTAAAAAAAACCAAAACTTGTAAAAGTTTTATGCCAAACAAAGTTATAAAAACTTTCCATGCGTTGAGATATCAAAAGGTTTATAACAATAATAAAGCGTGGGCGCCGGGCGTGTGTTAAACCTCCTTCGAAATGCATTAAACTCCGGGCGGCGGAGTTAAATATTAAACGTTGTAGACACCGGGTTTGGGTCCGAATTGAGATGGAGAAGGGGGGGCGGGGGGGGAGGGATGTGGTATCCCCTTCACCCCACCTCACCCCCCCTTTCTCTCTCAGGAGGCGGAGCCGGGTTAAAGCCCAGCGACTTTCTGATTCCGCTGTATTACAAAAGGGCTAAAGGTGATGGACTTGACTTTATTGAAGTTCAAAGACATCATATATTCACATTTTTCTTCCTGGGGGATCCCTGCCTACACCCCCCCACCCCCCTTTCTCAGGCCAGGGCCATCATTTCGGGCTACAAAAGGCGCTCGGCCTTTTAGCGCTGAAGTGTGAAGTTCCCTTAAAAGAAAGGGGGGAAAATATCCCCCAACGCACAGTTCGGGACCATCAACATAAAAGCTGGTGGGGTCTTTTTGTGTGTGTGTTTCCCCCACAGTGGTACCCAAAGCAGAGCTGCTTCCTCACGTACCACCCCCCCCCCCCCCACAAAACAAACAAAGAGGAAAACCACAGACCCCCAAAAAAAAAAAAAAAAAGGGAACATTAACAGGCTTTTCCTACATGGTACTGCTGTTTAATGCCGCTGTAAACTCCCACATGGTCTATAAACTTGGGTTTTACAACTAGCATTCCATTTTAGCTGGCGAAAACTTTGAACTAGGCCTCCAGTTTCATTGTGCTGCAGTTGAACTGAAGACATGGAAAGGGAGGGAGAGAGAGAGAGAAAAAAATCCCCAGGCAGGTCACCCTTATTTGTTTACTATTTACTGCGGAAGTCTTTTCCTATGGCCAGACGGGGTAATTAAGAAAAATTAAGCTCTTTAGTGCTGCAGTCTTTATTACAATGTCTAGACTACTCGCTTTTGTCCGGACAGCCGCTGCTGTTACGGGGTATTAACTGCTATTTCTGACCTGGCGATAAGCACCTTATTGCATCTCTAGTTGGTTTTCCTAACCTTGGAAAAGGTTTGGCAAACACTCATTAAAGAAAGGTGGATTTCGAGGAACAAAGCAGACTCTTTTCTTGGCCAGATCTTGGCTTGGCAGCTACAGCTGCCAAATGTACGGGGGTTTTGTTTTTATTTTATTCCGTTTTCTTTGATTTTGCTCTGTTTTCTTTTATGAGATTTGGTTTTGCGCAATTGTATTGCATTGCACTGCTTGCCCATTGCGTTTCAACTCTCTGTCCCCCCCTTTTTTTAGCAAAGCATTCTCCTTCCCCTTCCCAAGATCTAAGTTCATATTAGTATTATTATTTTAAAACATGCCAACAAAAAGGCCGGAGAGCTGCCAGGGTTTTTCCTTTTTTTTTTTTTCTTTTTCCTTTTAGGCCAGAAGCCTCCACGCTTCAATAGCGGTGAATTTGAAACATAAATACAAAGAAACTCTCTTCTTTTTTTTCCCCCCCTCCCTTCCATCTAAGCCTTTCTTCTCTTCCATCTCATTTAATAAGAAACATGCCCGGGAAGAGCCGCCTTTCAGATCATATCATGGCGAAATGAGGATGGGTCTATCGTGCAAAAGCAAAGTTGATTTTGTCCTGTGTGTGTACATGTGCAAACTAAGCACATTTTTGTGGGTCCGCTGCTGTCACATAAAAATCAAGAGACACCATCCAAGTGTTTTGGTTCAACGGAGCTGTATTTAAAAGCAATTATGAGCATTTTACAAGAGCGCTGTCACTGTATGGGAAGAGGATGTGTTGTTGCTTTTTTGTTGGTCCGCTCACTTCTTTTTCCGGGCCGCCTCTCTCCTCCCCTCCTCGGTCTACACAAGTCCGCAGCAACAAGGAAGGGGCGCTGGGATTGGAAATAATACCATAAAAGAAAAATACCCCCCTGGCTCGTTATATTGACATAAAACCCCCAGCACCCAACCCCTTCCCGGCATCTTCTCCCTTTGTCCTAGCAAACAAATTGGGCATCTTTAATACACTCAAAGGGGGATGTAGAAGGAGGGAGGGGGGGGGGAGAGGAAAAGTCACTGAGCCCACCTAAAACTGCACTTCTGCTTCCAGTGCCTGGAGGTTGAACTTGTTTTCCTTAAGCAGGAATTTAAAGGACTTGACTTTGCATTTGTGCTTTGCACGGAGAAGGTAGGTTATCCTTGACTTTATCCTTGCTCCGGGGGAAGGAGAGTTTCATTCATTTGCAAAAGGGAAAAAAAAAAATCTAGGGATGGTGCTCGCACAAATGCAAAGAAGAAGGGGGGGGGGAGCCGAATAATACCCAGTCGCATTACTGGGCCGACCAGCTCCTATAAATTTCAATTCGCTGATGAAGCCGGGCTCCACAACAAACGCCGAGGCTCCGGATTCATTTGGACCGCCCGAGCTTGCGAAGAGCCACATGAATATGGATGATGCGAGCCCCGCTCCCATCCAAAAGCGCCCTGCTATCATTTCAAGTCCTAGAGCAAAGCCTTACCCCACATTGACCGCAACGAGGCTTTTTAAGAGAGGAAATACCAATAAAATGGTCAAATAAAATCATAATGTAGAACAGCTTGCAATGTCTTTATTTGCCACAGAATGTCACAGAGTTTCCCGGGGATTCACTTTACATACACAAAGATTTACTTATTATTATTATTATTTTAATTCATTTTTTTTTTTTTTTACTCTTTTCCTTTTCCTCTGGTTTGCTCTTTGTCTCCCAGATCCGGAAAAAAAATGCATTACGAAATGTATTTACAAACAATCTCGAGACCGTTATTGCAAATGTATTGTCTTCTGTATTTCCTCTCCTCCCTCCCCACCCCGCCAAAACATGTACAAATGGGGCTGCATAGACTATATATATTATATATATATGTATATACACACGCCCAAATATATGTGGATATATGTGTGTGTATATATATATATATGTATATAAATATATATATATATATATATATAAAGATGTATAGAGAAAGAGGAGGGTGAAATGAAGTCGTTCTGTAGCTGGACAGGATATTTAAATTAGGT